CTCTCTCTCTCTCTCTCTCACACACACACACACACACACACACACACACACACACACACACACACACACACACACACACACACACACACACACACACACACACACACACACACACACAATAGTTCTGATGTGTTCCTCGTTCCTGTCACCTCTTCTCTCCCCCACCCTGCCAATCTAATAACATTACTTCTCAGAAACTGAAGGTTCGACTAAGTAAACGACGGTTTTATTAGTTGTCTTTAGTGCTGGGACTCCATTACCATCTGGGTAATTAAATCTGGACGACCTGAGCTGAACTGATCCTCTTAGACAACGGGAAGATATCCACAGAGATTGGCCAAATTATTCACCAATAAAGTACAGATTAGACTATTTGACAGACGCATGTCCTGGACTCATGCCTTCTGTAGCGGACAAGCACTGCTCATCCACCTCCTTCGCTTTTCCACTCCTCTTCCAATCTCCTTCTGAATATTATTTGAGCTTTTGTTGTGAATTAGCTGCTCTCTCTCATTGCTCAGGATGATTTACTGTTGGCACAAAACAAAACTGATGCTGCTGATGACCCAGCCAGAGAAAATGACCTGACCCCAGCATTCCAACCCCTGGAACTTTATCAGGGATTGGAATGCTGAGTGACAGAAGTCTGTCCCTGATGACTTTCCTTGCAGAGAAGAGGCTTCTTTTGGTGTTCTTGACACCAGGCCATCCTCTAAAAGTACTCACTGTGCTGCAAACTGAGCTCTGCACCGGGGAACCCTAGACTTTCAGCTGGATCAGTTAGAGGAGATGACCTAGAACTTAACAATTGCAGTGTAATTTGGTTTTGGGATTAGGTATTCACTGTAAAGAGGAACTTTGCAATTCAGTATAATTCATTTGTCCATAATAATCTGGAAGTATGAATCATGAAAGACCAAGTTCACTTGTTTTTTCAACACATTTGCAGCAGTCTCTCAGACTGGAATGCCATCCTACACGTGTGAATACATATTCTGGCCAAGACCCATAGACAGACAGTTATGACAGTTGTAGGGCGGGAGCTATGGTTATCCTTCAAACTGTCTCCACATTATTGGATAACGAACAATGCGACGTACTCACAGCTACGAATGTCAGTCAACGGGGCAGTCCGCCGCTAAAGACACAAATGCATCGTTTTTCTAAATAAACGTAACTACCTCTATCTGCCTTTGACTCAAAGAAAAGCCTAAATAGTCCAAAGTTGATGCCAAAGCTGTTTCCAATGGGCCGCCGCCATCTTTGTTGTTTTGCTTTGTCACAGCAACATCCCACCCACCAAACCAATAAAGCACTGTGATTGGCAAAACACAAGACTCTTTTATACGTTTGTTTTGTTTATCTTTGTAATCCATTTCTTTGTTGTTTTTCTGGGTTTTTTACCTGACATTTTTCGACTAATGTCTTTAGTCAACATCAGAGTCCCAACAAAAATACAAAAAATGGATCAAGGAAGCAATAGAACTAAGGACCGTCACCTTATCGTGGTGGAGGAGTTTGAGTGCCCTAATGATCCTAGGAGCTATGTTGTCTGGGGCACTTAGTGCCCCTGGTAGGGTCTCCCATGACAAATTGGTCTTAGGTGAAGGGTGAAACAAAGAACGGTTCGAAGGATCTTTCATGGCGGTTAAAACGAAGAGTCGGAGTACCCGGCCTGGAGGGTTACCGGGGTCCCACCCTGGAGCCAGGCCTGGGGTTGGGGCCCGTGAGCGAGCGCCTGGTGGCCGGGCTTTCGCCCATGGGGCCCGGCCGGGCCCAGCCCGAACCGGATACATGGGCTCGTCCAACTGTGGACCCACCACCCGCAGGAGGAACATGAAGGGTCCGGTGCAATGCGAATCGGGTGGCAGACCAAGGCGGGAGCCTTGGCGGTCCAATCCCCGGACAAGAAAACTAGTTTTTGGGACATGGAACGTCACCTCGCTGGCGGGGAAGGAGCCGGAGCTTGTGGCAGAGGTTGAGCGGTACCGGCTAGATATAGTCGGACTCACCTCGACACATTGCATTGGCTCTGGAACCCGAGACCTGGAGAGGGGTTGGACACTCTACTTTGCTGGAGTTGCTCTGGGTGAGAGGCGGAGGGCTGGGGTTGGCTTTTTGTTAGCCCCGAGACTCTCTGCCTGTGTGTTGGGGTTTACCCCGGGGGACAAGAGGGTAGCTTCCTTGCGCCTTCGGGTCGGGGAACGGGTCCTGACTGTTGTTTGTGCTTATGGGCCAAATATCAGTTCAGAGTACCCACCCTTTTTGGAGTCCCTGGGACGAGTGCTAGATAGTGCTCCATCAGGGGACTCCATTGTCCTGCTGGGGGACTTCAATGCTCACGTGGGCAATGACAGCTTGACCTGGAGGGGTGTGATTGGGAGGAACGGCCCACCTAATCTGAACTCGAGCGGTGTTTTGTTATTGGACTTCTGTGCAAGCCGCAGTTTGGCCATAACGAACACCATGTTCGAACATAAGGATGCCCACCGGTACACTTGGTACCAGGGCAGCCTAGGTCACAGGTCGATGATAGATTTTGTAGTCGTATCATCTGACCTGCGGCCGTATGTTTTGGACACCCGAGTGAAGAGAGGGGCGGAGCTGTCAACTGATCACCACCTGGTGGTGAGTTGGATCAGATGGCAAGGGAACATGCCGCGTAGACCTGGCAGACCCAAACGCATAGTGAGGGTCTGCTGGGAACGCCTGGCAGAAGAACCTGTCAAGACGGTCTTCAACTCCCACCTCCGGCAGAGCTTTGACCACGTCCCGAGAGCAGTGGGGGACATTGAGTCCGAGTGGGCCTTGTTCCACTCTGCGATTGTCGAGGCGGCTGTTGCTAGCTGTGGTCGTAAGGTGGCCGGTGCCAGTCGTGGTGGCAACCCCCGTACCCGCTGGTGGACACCAGAGGTTCGGGGAGCCGTCAGGCTGAAGAAGGAGGCCTACAGGGCGTGGCTGGTCTGTGGGTCTCCGGAGGCAGCAGACAGGTACCGGATAGCCAAGCGGAGTGCAGCAGTGGCAGTTGCCGAGGCAAAATCTCGGGCGTGGGAGGAGTTTGGTGAGGCCATGGAGAAAGACTATCGATCGGCTCCAAAGAGGTTCTGGCAAACTGTCCGGCGCCTCAGGAGAGGAAGGCAGCAACTCGCTCACACTGTTTACAGTGGGGATGGGGAGCTGCTGACGTCAACTGAGGCTATAGTCGGACGGTGGAAGGAATACTTTGAGGAGCTCCTCAATCCCACCAATGCGCATTCCGAGGAGGAACCAGAGCTGGGAGGCCTGGGGATGGACTGTCCGATCTCGGGGGCAGAAGTTGCTGAGGTAGTCAAACAACTACACAGCGGCGGAGCCCCGGGGGCGGATGAGGTTCGTCCTGGGTATCTCAAGGCTATGGATGTTGTAGGGCTGTCATGGTTGACACGTCTCTACAACATTGTGTGGTCATCGGGGGCAGTTCCTAGGGAGTGGCAGACCGGGGTGGTGGTCCCTATCTTTAAGAAGGGTGACCTGAGGGTGTGTTCCAACTATAGGGGGATCACACTCCTCAGCCTCCCTGGAAAGGTCTACGCCAAGGTACTGGAGAGGAGGGTCCGATCGATAGTTGAATCTCAGATAGAGGAGGAGCAATGTGGTTTTCGTCCTGGCCGTGGAACTGTGGACCAGCTCTATACCCTTGCAAGGGTGATGGAGGGGGCATGGGAGTTTGCCCAACCAATCCACATGTGCTTTGTGGATTTGGAGAAGGCATATGACCGTGTCCCCAGGGGCACCCTGTGGGGGACGCTCCAGGAGTATGGGGTGGGTGGCTTTCTGTTAAGGGCCATTCAGTCCCTTTACCAGAGGAGCGTGAGTTTGGTCCGCATAGCCGGTAGTAAGTCGGACCTGTTCCCAGTGAGGGTTGGACTCCGCCAGGGCTGCCCTTTGTCACCGGTTCTGTTCATCACTTTTATGGACAGAATTTCTAGACGCAGCCGTGGTGTGGAGTGCGTCGAGTTTGGTGGCAGGAGAATCTCGTCTCTGCTTTTTGCGGATGATGTGGTCCTCCTAGCTTCATCCAGCTCTGACCTTCAGCTCTTGCTGGGTAGGTTCGCGGCCGAATGTGAAGCGGCTGGGATGAGGATCAGCACCTCCAAATCTGAGACCATGGTTCTCGACCGGAAAAGGGTGGCTTGCCACCTCCGGGTCGGGGGAGAGGTCCTACCTCAAGTGGAGGAGTTTAAGTATCTCGGGGTCTTGTTCACGAGTGAGGGTAGGAGGGATCGGGAGATCGACAGGCGGATTGGTTCGGCGTCTGCAGTGATGCGGACGCTGAGCCGATCTGTCGTGGGGAAGAGGGAGCTGAGCCAGAAAGCCAGGCTCTCGATTTACCGGTCGATCTACGTCCCAATCCTCACCTATGGTCATGAGCTTTGGGTAATGACCGAAAGAACGAGATCGCGGATACAAGCGGCCGAAATGAGTTTCCTCCGTAGGGTGGCCGGGCTCAGCCTTAGAGATAGGGTGAGGAGCTCGGACATTCGGGAGGGACTCGGAGTAGAACCGCTGCTCCTCCGGATCGAAAGGAGCCAGTTGAGGTGGTTTGGGCATCTGGTCAGGATGCCTCCTGGACGCCTCCCCGGGGAGGTGTTTCGGGCATGTCCTGCCGGCAGAAGGCCCCCGGGTCGACCCAGGACACGTTGGAGAGGTTACATCTCCAATCTGGTCCGGGAACGCCTTGGGGTCCTGCCGGAGGAGCTGGTGGACAAGGCTGGGGAGAGGACGGCCTGGAGCTCCCAAATTGGGATGCTGCCCCCGCGACCCGGACCCGGATAAGCGGAGGAAGACGAAGACGAAGAACGAAGATGTGAACACAAAACCATGAAAAAAGATGATGGTAGTGAGAGAGGAAGTGCCCCCACTTGTGCTGTTAAAAAAACATGAAAAATAAAAAACCATCATCTTGTGTGCAATTTACCAAAATCTTTTCCATAACGCACAAAGCTGTGTGGTGAACTCACCCGGTGTGCATGAATATGTAGCTGAAGTACCTCCAGGCCTGCGCTCGTAGCTGGGGGTGGTAAGGCAGGGGGCTCTTTAGGAAGGACGGGCTGGACACCTGCAGGACCAAGCGATCCAGCTGGATCCCATAATATATGAACACCGCTACCTGGAACAGCACAAAACACATATAAGAAGGTATTCAGTTACTCTCAAAATAAACTAAAGTTGTGTATTAAACATTTTGTGGACAGTCTCTTAAACTGGAAACTCTGGTCTGGTTTTTGATGTGCAGTTCTTTTTGTTACTGTAATATAATAAAAGTAAGGTTTTAAAATATCCTAAGAATGGAATCATGAAAAAAACAAAAGTGCGTGGGCTATTTATCCAAAATTCTGATTTTTTGTGAAGAAGAGCCCGTTAAGACACTGATTTTATGTTTTAAATCATTGGTCTTCAATCCGGGTCAATTAAGACCACTGTCCTGCATGTCTCTGCTTCAACACACCTGATTGAAATCAAATGATTAATAATAACAGGCTTCTACAGATCATTAGGACACGGTGAATTTAACCGCTAAACTATGTGTGTGAGCAGAGAAACCAATAAAACATGCAGGATGGCAGCCTTTGAAGATGGAGGTTGGACACCAGTAGCTCAGGAGGTTGAGCAGGTTGTCCAGTAACTGGACGGTTGCAGGTTTCATCCCGGCTCCGATGAACAAATGCTGCTGTTTTATCCTTGGGCAAGGCACTTAACCTGCCTTGCCTGCTGCTGGTGGTCGGAGGGACCGGTGGCACCAGTGTTCGGCAGGCCTCGCCTCTGTCAGTGCACCCCAGGGGAGCTGTGGCTACATCAAAGCTGATCCTCACCAGCGGGTAAATGACTGATTGTGTTGTGAAGCGCCTTGGGGGGTCGTACAACCCTAAAGCTTGGTTTATGCTCGACGCATTCACTTTCCCCGCGGTGATGCGGCTCGCGGATGGAACGCGCTTCACAACTCGCAGCTTTTATTGTTCGTGCGGCTCGTCTCTGCGGTGAGCCAATATTCTCCCAAACTGTAGGGGGCAGCATGGAGCTCTACAGCATGCATCCAACACTACACCATAGTAGAAGTAGAAATTACTGTTTACAACATGGCATTTCAGCATTTTTAACAGCGTCCTCGTCTTTTCCGACAGTGCGAGCTATTTCTCTCCAAGAATTATTAACAACATGTTGATCACGGTGATCTCTGAGAGCTGAATCATACAAATGTCTGTATTTACGAACCTCTGCCATACTAGTTCTTGCCGGTCCGCCATGTTTTTCCGCGTCCGTCCGTCCGCGTGGTTAGAAATTTTCCGAGGTGCGCGTTGCGGAAATTCTGGGCTGTGCGGAGGCGCGGTGGAGGGGCGTGGTTGTTAAAATGACGCAAAATGACGCAACTTTTCCGCGCGGAGCCGTGCGGACCTCGGGACGCGTCAAGCATAAACCAACCTTAAGAAGGCGCTATACAAATACAGACCATTACCATTTCACCATTGCGCTAAAAAGACTAACCTCAGCCATGGTGATAGCCAGGATGAACCAGGGAGGGGGGCAGTATGTGTAGCTGTCAAAGTACCACTTGCGGTCGACCTCGCGAGGCAGCGTTTCATAGGCGACGTGGCGAACTAGCCGCTGGGAGAGCCCCAAGCCAACCTCATCTCTGAGACTGCAGCCTTTCAGCTGCCTGCTCCCCTGCAGGATGGCCCTCCTGAAACTGTTGGAGCGCTTGTTGCTCATCTGGATAAAACAAGATAGAAAACGGAATGAGAGAAGGGGTCAAGGATGCGCTAAAGAGACAGTTCACTAGTTCTGTCATTCTAGTATAAATGAACTCCTTATGAGGATAAAAGCTTTGGTACTCCTGTTTCAGGAAATAAAAGTTAGCCGGAGGAGAGGCGAGCAAAAGACACAGGATTTGATGTCTTATTTCCCGATATTTGGACATCTCACCTCTGATTGGCTAACAAAAACGTGACTCTACCACTGATTTCGTTTGCTCTGCAACTTTGACATTTATCTCCACAAACACAAGTCTGAAGGAGATCTGTTATTTTGTGGAGTTGCTAATGCTAACGGTTAGCTTCTACTAGTTGAAATGCGCTTGGCTCTTTCCTCGTTGCCTTCCCCATCACGAGCAAAGATGGGTGAGTCCATGATAATTTGCTGTGTGATGTAGTTCTGACTGGTCCAACATAAATGTACACTGGACTTAGGAGGAAAAACAGCTGCCGAGACTGGAATTTTGATCGTTTGTTGGTCCGGAGCATGTGGGTGTGTTAGCGCACGAGAGAAGAGAGACTGTCAAACAGGGTCCACATTAAAGCCTCATATAAACTGTCAAATGTCGAAGCACACATTTTCCCTATTTCATCCAAAAGCAGCATTTGGTAAACAACCTTCTATCATAAAGTGGTGTGTGGTAGTGTGTAGCAACACAAAAGCTGTCTCCATAGGGTCAAGCAGCAGGTTGTAGAGCATCATGAGTGATGCTAGTGTGATTATTCATGATCAGAACCCCAGCCGAGCCTTACTGATGATAACTGTTAGATAAAATATTAAATAATGCACCGTATCAGCTACAAGGAATCAACATATCTATAAACATTGAAACAGGAAAATATTTTAATTTGACCAACAAACAAAGGTAAAACAGAAACAAAGGAATTCACCTCCTCGCTTTAAAAATCCAGGATGAGCTCACTTAATACGTCTTCTTTAAGTTTTCAAACAAATAAAAATTCCCATTGACACAATAGTGTGAGCCGGGAATTCATGTAATACATTTCAGAGCCTTTGTAAACATTTTCCCTCACTAATCCCATTCACCCTGCGTCTCAGATCAGCCGGATTTAAGTTTTGACTCCTAAATATGATTTTTTTTCTTTTTCAAGATATTTTCCGTGAGCGTGTACCTGTGTTCAGAACCCTACATCATTGTTTCAGTTGTAACACCATGATGATGTCACCATCATGCTCTCACACTTGGTGGGTATTCTAAAGGAAATTGCTTCTGCCAGAAATGATTGTTTCCCTAATTGACATTAAGTGCAGTTTAAGTCTGAGTGGACAAGAACACGTTGTTAACTAACTTTATTAAGCTCACTGAGAAACCGTCGTCGTCGTCTTCCTCCGCTTATCCGGGTCCGGGTCGCGGGGGCAGCATCCCAACTAGGGAGCTCCAGACCGTCCTCACCCCGGCCACCTCCACCAGCTCCTCCGGCAGACCCCAAGGCCTTCCCGGACCAGATTGGAGATGTAACCTCTCCAACGTGTCCTGGGTCGACCCGGGGGCCTCCTGCCGGCAGGACATGCCCGAAACACCTCCAGGAGGCATCCTGACCAGATGCCCAAACCACCTCAACTGGCTCCTTTCGATCCGGAGGAGCAGCGGTTCTACTCCGAGTCCCTCCCGAATGTCCGAGCTCCTCACCTTATCTCTAAGGCTGAGCCCGGCCACCCTACGGAGGAAACTCATTTCGGCCGCTTGTATCCGCGATCTCGTTCTTTCGGTCATTACCCAAAGCTCATGACCATAGGTGAGGATTGGGAAGTAGATCGACCGGTAAATCGAGAGCCTGGCTTAGCTCACTGAGAAACCATTTTTCTTTATATTGTTTAAATATGATTGGTCACTCTGAGTTTCACATGCAGGCCCAACGTGAAAACAGTCTTCTACCCCTATTTCCTGCATTACCTGCTGAGATAAAATAGACAGGAAAAAGCTTTTATTAGAAAAGCCACACAGATCTACGTCATACTGTAAATGCTCATTCATGGACTCAGCTATCTTGGCTCACGGGAAGGCTGTTGTTGGTTTTGCATCCAGGAGAGAGCAGAGCATGTTTCTGCTAGTAGAAGCTAACCGTTAGCATTAGCAATGCCACAACATGGCAAAACTCCTTCAGGCTTATTTTCTTGGTGGACATTAAACATCAATATTGCAGTTGCATTGCTGCTAGCCAATCAGAGGTGAGGAGTATCAGGATGCTTTTTTTGTGTTTTTCTATGTAAACAAAGACCACAAACCCATCTCTGTCACATTTATGACTAAAATAGTCACACAAACAGGCTGTCCAATCTCAGCAGAGCTGTTTAGCTTCTTCAGGGTAAGCTTGACTTCTTTGTTACCCCTCTGACTAAACACCCCCTGACTCACCCCTGGTCCTTCAGCCTCAGCTATCTGCCATCTGCAAACACACTGGTTGCATCCCCATATTCTTCATTTCTTTCAGACAAGAGTAGATTGTTTACACGAAGATCTTCTAAAGTGCTTTCATTTAATCCAGTTCAGTTTATTTATATAGTGTCAAATCACAACAAGGATCACCTCAAGGCACTTTACCAAGTAAACATCAGTGTACTGAGTTCAAGTCATTATGCCAATTAGTTAAAAGTATCCAATGTAAGAAAACCCAGCACTCACTAGCTGTGTATATTTGTATAATATACTACTATCATAGCATCAAAACACAAAGTACAATTTACTTTTCAATATAATGCCAACCTTGAGCCAAAACATAGCGGAAATGCCAGTTTACAAAGTGTTAAGAAAAATACACTTTTATAATTCATATTTGTGTTTAACGAGGCTTCCTGTGTTGCTGAGCGTAACATCAGGAGGAAAAAGCAGACTGTTTCAGCGTTAATATTGAGGCTGACAAACTGTGGGAAAAGGATGACAGGTTACCATGGTCACTTCTAGACCGCACAACAAGGCAAGTGCACACACAGACCTCCCCCCTGGCAGCCCCGCTCCATAAAGACAGTCAATTCTTCTGCTGAAGTGACTGCAATCCCCCTGCTTTTCGCAGGAGACATAAAAGGAAGAATGGCATTCTGTGTGTTGACCCACTGCCAGGAGGAGAAGGGAACAGGACAGAGAGGAGGCCAAGGAGACAAATGGGTGTTCAACTAGCAAGAGACAATTTCAGCCTTTGATCAACAGAACACATGAGAGAGGAGAGACGTTAACAACAGAGGAGGGACGAAATAAGGAGCAGCATTTATGAGCTTCTTTACACAAATGTGACAGATGAAGGAAAGTATGGGGTGCACTTCATCTCCCACCCAACGATGCAGCATCCAGTGTCATACAGTGGGATGCCTTCTTAATCTTCATGATTTTCCTGTAAAACCCATTGGTTGTTATGATAAAAAAAGTCTGTTTAATATATAATAAAGGAGACGCACAGTGATATTTGAGAAGTGAACAAAAAAGAAATGACCTCAATATGTAGTCTATCCTACTTTAGCATAAATAACAGCCTCTAAACTCTTCCTATAGCTTCCAATGAGAGTCTGGATTCTGGCTGAAGGTGTTCTGGACCATTCTTCACTAACACAACATCTCTAGTTCATTCAGGTCTGATGCTTCTGAGCATGGACAGCTCTCTAACTCACACCACAGATGTTCAACAATATTCAGGTCTGAGGACTGAGATGGCCGTTCCAGAACGTTCTACTTGTTCCTCTGCATGAACGCCTTAGTAGATGCTGAGCAGTGTTTAGGGTCGTTGTCTTGTTGAAAGCCCCAGCCCCGGTGCAGCTTCAGCTTTGTCACTAATTCCTGACATTGGTCTCCAGAATCTGCTGATATTGAGTGGAATCCATGCGTTCCTCAACTTTAACAAGAGTCCCAGTCCCTGCACTGGCCACACAGCCCACAGCATGATGGAACCACCACCATGTTTTACTGTAGGTAGCAGGTGTTTTTCATGGAATGCTGGCTTCTTCTTCCTCCATGCATAGCGCACCTTTTTATGCCCAAATAACTCCGTTTTAGTTTCATCAGTCCACAGCACCATATTCCAGAATGAAGCTGCCTTGTCCAAATGTGCTTTAGCAAACCTCAAGCAGCTCTGTTTGTGCTGTGGGTGGAGAAAAGGCTTCCTCTGCATCACTCTCACATACAGCATCTCCTTGTGTAAAGTGCACCGAATAGTTGAACGGTGCACAGAGACTCCATCTGCAGCAAGAGGATGTTGTAGGTCTTGGTTGCTGGTCTGTGGGTTGACAACTGCTCTCATCATTCTGTTACTTCTGTTTCTGACATTTTTCTTGGTCCTCCACTTGGAGCCTTAACTTGAACTGTGCCTGTGGTCTTCCATTTCCTCGTTGTGTATCCTGGGAGGATATCTGGTTTTCTGGAAATTTGGGAAGACGGGAGCGATTGGAGTGCGACCCGTGCCCACGGAATGTGCCGCTCGGGCGGTGACCGCACAAACTGGGACGTTACTCGAGGTGAACCGCAAGCTGGATAATGTCCTCGCGGCTTTGCCTGTGATAGTACGCAAGATGGATTTGATCTCGGAGAGGGTCGCCGGACGATGCGGGGATGTTTAGAACGTATAATTGGCTCACTGGTGGACATGAATGACCACTTAGAGACTCCAAGGCGGAGAGGAAAATTATCTCTGCCTGCCCCAAACAAGTCACGTTTATCCTTATCTGACGCCATAGCAGCCTCTCAAGGCTGCCTCAACACACCCCCACGAAAGGAGGAATGCCGACAGATGTTGTGTCCCGACCTTCACCCTCTTCCTTCAGATTGAGACGTCTGCGGGAAACTTCAATGTGCTCTCTGGTCCTTATCTCTCCCTCCCACCTGTTGGTCTGCAGCTGGTCGATGCGCCGCAGTGGCAGCTCCCATTGGAGGCTTCAGGATCCCGCCCATCCCCGCCTCCCCATCGGACTCTGATGTTGTATCTGTGCTGTTTGTGCTTCCATGTTAAAGGAGT